GGCGAGGCCGGGCTCTGCCGCTCCGAGGGTGGCCATGGTTCCCGGCGGCCCCCGGCCCGCGAGGAGCCTGGCAAGACCCGGCCGCCCCACAGGAACAGCGCCGACCTCTACTAGCCTGGCCCCTGCCTGCCCCGCGAACGTGCCGCAGTGGCATCTTTTAAAGATGACCTCGAGCCACAGCACGTGCTGGTTTTCTTGAAGGACCATGCAAGGAAGGCTCTGTGCTGCAAGGCCTCGGGGCACGGCGGGGAGCATGACCGGGATTCATAGCAGGTTTGGGGAGCTCTGGGAATGGGGGTACCTGGGGGGTGCGGCCACGGGTGTGTGGTTGTGCCCCTGCATCCCCTGGCTGCCTCTGCAGCACTGTCATGGCGCAATGCACACAAACACACTAGAAAACAAGCGTTAATCAAAAAAACCCACCCCAAACCCAGTATCAATGCCTGTGGCAAAAGGCCAAAGGGCTCCCCTTGCTCGCTCGCACACGCATGTCTGTCTTTATTTCTTTATCTCTGTTAGGCAGCCGGGGGGGGATGGGGAGGCTTGTTTGCAGCTCTGCCCTGTGCCGGGTGCTGGCTTCTCCTGTGTGCTGCCTCGTGGAAACACGACAGGGGAGCCAGGGCAGGGCTCCGGTCATACCTGGCAACAAAAGTGGGGGGAAGGATTGGGTCAACGTGACGCAGCTGCTTTGTTTCACCTGGAGAAAAACTTTTTTTATCAATCAGAGGTGTTGGGGGTGGGGTTTGTTTGTTTGTTTGTTTGTTTTGCTTTGTTTTGTTGGTTTTTTTTCTTACTCCTCCTTAAGGTTTACACAGCCCTAAGAAGTTCACAGCCTCAGTTGTACCACAAACGGGAAGAGTGTGAGCGCTCACTGAACACCAGCGTAATGCAGCCACAGCACAGGGTTTCCGGGGGTTTGGAGGTGTTTTGGTTTGGGTTTTTGTTTTTGTACTAGGGAGAAGGGGAGGGCCTTTTACTTGTGTCCAAACATATCTTAGAGGACCATTTTTAGTTTCACGCTAACACTTAACACACACGCGTGCGCACACACTAATACACCCCCCCACACACCCCCCTATTGCTGCACAAGCGTTGTGTTACTCTGTTCTTTCTAAAGTGAAGAACAAGAGCTGGTGAAAAATGAACAGTTTGGCTTTTGCAGGCAAACACGCAACTGCTGTTTCCCCTTCGCCCTCCCCAGCACTTGGTCTCCTTTCTCCCATGCTGGCGCTGTGGCTGCGGGGTGACACGGGGGGTGACGGGCACGCTCGGCCTGCACCGCGCTGGCGGGACAACTGGCCGGGCAGAGAGGGAGGTGGAGCCGAAGGTGCGAGCCAGGCACCTTCCCCAAATGCAGACAGGCCTCCTGCCCATCCTGCTTTGAAACCAAAGCTTGCCTCCTTTCTAGAGGCGAAGAACCCCAAATACGCATGTAAAAGCAACCGTCCCCTGCTCACGGAGCAGCTCACGCCGCGTTTCTCAGGCATCTGAGGATACGTGACTTATTTTTTTCTTTTTTGGCCTCCTGCTTTCCAGCACAACCAAAGCACATGGCCAATAGACTTGCAGCCCTTGTCATATGTGTTGTTACAGACTGCCTCAAAAAGAAAAAAACTAGAGTAGCTGTAAGCAGAGATAAAGCCTGATGTGAGCTTCACTATGCGGCAGTTTGGCTTTTTAGTTGTATTTTGTTTTTTGCTGTGTGTTTTCCATGCTGTCTCTCCCCAGGCCCCACGTTTCCTCCCCCAGCGCGTCCTTCTGCTGTAACCTACTGCACAGCTTTTGAAGAGACCCGTTTGGTCAGTGCTGACTCTCGGTGTTATACCTCAAGGGACCTCCCAGTCTTGTCAGTCTGTTAGGGTCAAAGTAATAAACACGATGGATTTTTCAGAATACGCAGATGTCCTCCGCTTCGCTTCTATTCTTTTACAGCGACAAATTGCAAAGAAACGTGAATCCCAAGGAGCTCCGGGGCTCAGCTCCAAGGACAGGGGAGGCTGGGCAGTTGCAGCACGTGTGACGGGGGGCCTGGAGCGGTGGGGAAGGGGCAGAAGCAGCTGGCCAAGCAGGGAGACAACCGTGTCCTGGAGAAACCCCTGGGGAGATGGTGCGTACGGCGCCAGGCATCAGCTGCTGCTGGTTGAGGGCCAGCACGGGGCCGTGTACGAGGGGGAGTGAAAAACAAACCAGTGCCTGTAGCGACTGGCCTTCTCCCACACCAGTCAACGCGGAGGAACAACGGCAAACTGTAGAGACTGTAGAGAGAGCTGCTGAATCACAGCGAGGAAACAGCCACGGAAAGACAAAACATCCCATCTCCATGAGTAGAAAGTTCACAATAAATCGCGTACCCAGCGAGCGTTGGCATCAAACTAAACCTGCCGCCTCACGAAGAGCCTCCCTGCGCCCGGGCCGTGCCGCAGTGGGCTGCAGAGCACAGCGGGTGCTCGGCCAGGGGCTCGTCTGTGACCCTGCCCGTCCCCCACACCCCACGGCACCCCGCTTCTCGCCTCCTCTCCTTCCAGGCTGGCGTTGGCCAAAAACCACACAGCCCCTCTCCTACTCGCAGCCCGCACAAGGGGCCATTTGGTCACCCCGGAAAGCCGCCTGGCTGCCTGTGCCCGTGCGGTCACAGAACAAGCAAGGACAAGGCATCGCTGCCAGCAGAAGCACACCATGCACAGGAGCACCTTTTGCAGGTTTTTTTTATTTATTAAAAAAAAACCCTGAAGTTGAAATACAGAGTAACTGGAAAAAAGTCTCACAACATAGTAATAAAACATCTTTATTCCCTCTTAAATATAATCTCTAAGACTATAAGCCTATAATTCCTGTTAAATCACACTTAATTGAATGGTCTTTATAGGCTTTCCTCATTGGAGAATGAACACTGAATACTGGCTTCGACACAACATCGGAAAAACAGTAGTGCGGGGAATAAATCACAAACTTTTGGTACCTCGGGGAACGTTGCAGAACCCGGCGGAGACACAACCAGCAGAAGGCACGTGCTCGCGCGGGGAACCGGGAGCGGAGCCGGGGGCTGCGCTTCCCCTCCCTCCCACCGGCTCGCGGCCGGAGGACAAGGACGAGGACAACGCCAGAGCCTGGGGCTCACACCACACAGCCCTAGGAGGCGGGATAAGCAAGAAAACAGCGGAGGAAACGAGACGCGGCAGGAGAGGCTCTGGGAGCAGCAGTGCTGCCATGGCCCCCCAGCCGGGACCCCACTGCACCTCTCGGCTACGGCTCCTGGCTCAGCCCGTGGGTGGCATGAGCCACAGTCGCCCTCTGGCTTCTAGGTGGATTGAACTGAAGTTAAAAAACCCCAAGATTTTTCCCATCAGTGGGTAACTTCTCATTCAACCAGCTATCCCCTAGGCTGATGAAGTCCTGCTGCAAATAAAGGGAATTAGACCAGCTAATGGGGTAAGAGAAGGAGAGCCCCTGAGGGCCAGGTCTGCTGGTCCAGCTGAAATGACAGCTGGAGAAGAGTCTCATGACCCCCTTGAATTAACACAGTGTCCTGTAGGGTTTGCTCCCCATCTTGATGTTCACGGTGCCGATCCCTGAGAGCACAGCTGCCCTGCGGGGCCAGGGCTCAGGCAGAGGGTGCAGGGTGCTGCTCCCCAGCCAGCCCGGCGCACGCTGCCTTCTCCTCAAGGGATGGGAAACAGCCAGGCCCAGATGAAAAACATTTCCTCAGAAACAAACACGAGGCAGAAACTGTGGAGTAGATCCAGTGAAAAAAGTGCTCTGCCTTCGGTGCCTTTTTACTATCACATAACAGTAAAAGTGTCAGCTGCCCCTCAGCACCTCGTCTCCCTACCCCCTGCCCCGTTAACTCTTGCATAATTCACTCAAAAATACTGACAGGACAAACCAGAATGTTTTATGGAAACCAGTCCCTGGAGCAAGCCAGGAGAGGAGATGAAATACATTCCCTGATGCTGCTAGCAGTGTACAAAACAAAATGATTTTTCTAGACACTTCCCTGGCTGACATATGTGACTTCCCAGCACTTGTCTATATTTTTCATTTATCATTTTTATCTCGGTTTTACCTTGTCTTCCCTGCTGCTTTAATCATGGCCTTCTCCTGCTGTCCTCCGCCTCATTAAGGGACGCGGTGTCAGAAGGAGGCAGTATCGAGTGAGCCCTGCTATCGAACGCCTGCACTCGAATCTTGCCCCAACTGGCCTAGGGAAGGCTGAGGTGGCCCTCCCGTCCCCTGATGAGCAGGCAAGTCGTGGGCAGAAGCGAAGCGCAGCATCATGCCAATGTACTCTGGCAAAACCCAGCATAAGCTGCAGGAAAATGAAGAACTTCTCCAAACTGGCCGGCTTACCTTTTGGGAATAAAGGTACCCAAGCCATGAGCACATCGCTCCGCCAGCTGTTGCAAAGCGCGTCGCGCCCTGAGGACAGCAGGTACCAGCTACGCGCTGCCCTCTCGCAGCGTGCAGTGTCACTGCTGTAGGAGACCTGGACATTAATTCAGTGCTGGTGCCGCAGCCAGGCCAACGTCTTCAAAAGTGGGTCTGGGATTTGAAGCGATGGCTTTTGTACACCTCAAACCCACCTGCCAAACCAGGTCAGAAGTGGCATCCTCCAGTGCCTTGGCTGCAGAGCGCCTCGTCTGAAAACCAGGACTCTGGGTAGGGACCTCCAAAACGGGGGCAACCCGAATCCCCGATCACCTGGGGAGACTGTGGCTGGCGCGAGGGTACTCAGCACCCTGGTCAGACAGCTGCAGGGAGGGACCAGCACTGGGACGCGAGCCGAAGGACCGGCAGTCACAACTGGACGCGGACCGCAGCGTTTGCTATGGGTGAGGTGACTCCGTAGCACATAATACTTGCAGAAGGTGAGGGGTGGCTACTACAGCGAGAAGCTGCTCTCAGTTCACAGGGTGCTGACAGACACGGGGAAGACCACAGCACATAAATACATCCATGCACAGCCACAATCCGCAGTCTCTGGGGGCTGCCAAGAGCGCCTAGATGTGGGGCTCACCGATCGCTGCGTTCCTCTTCTCAAACTTCATTTTGAGCTCTGACACGAGGGCGCTGTGGGCGCTGCCATGGCCTCTCTTCTTCAGCTGCTTGTTTATAAACTTGGGAGTGAGGGAGCCGGAGACGGTTGGCACCCGCCACCCCGGGGTGTCCCCTCTGGGAGCCAGGGCAGGGGGCGGCGGGGGTAAGGGGGCGGTCGGTGGCACGGGGGCAACCTGGATGTTGTTGTTGCTGTTTTCGTTGTGTAGGCTCTTGGCATCATCCTCAACGACAAACTTCTCTGCAGCATTGCTGGGCCTCTTGAACTTCAGCCACTCCATCCTGACTGTCCGGGACTGCGGGGTCTGTCTCTTTTTTATGATCCTTCTCACCGGCATGATTTTGTTGGACCGCTTATTGCGCCAGAACATGGCAGTAGAGATCATGATAGTTATCAGCACCATTATGCCCATGACACCAGCTAGCACTCCTAAGGCTTTCATGGGGTTATCTTTAGTTTGCATCAAAAAGGCGGCCATAGGCCCTTTGTGAAGAGTCTGTAAAAGAGTACAAAGAAAACACGTGACTTACTCTATGGGACCGACAGTGACCCAGAAATTTCATTTGTCCAAAATATGTAACAAGCAGGGCTGACTAATGGAAGTTGTCTCTAAAAAAAACGAGAGTCAAAGACCCAGTCCCGCTCTGGAGAATTCAGATGGAGAAAGAGACTGGGCAAGCATTACGGTATTGCGAGACGGACGACTGTCGAGCACAAAAGCTTACAGGAGTATTACTGCAAATTAGGACGGATTCCTGCGTGTCACCATAGTGTTTGTTTAACTTGCAAGAACTGTGCAAGAAAATAATTGGCTCCAGGATCTGCAGCTGTTTTGTTGTCAGAGTTAATTTCCTATGAATAATAGTGTTGAACCCAAACAGAAGTTTATGAGTAGAAAATGATCTTTCAACAACAGTTGCAGATGATACGGTCATGCAGTTTACAGGACTATGACTGAGCATGGCATGAAAAACGTTATGAGAAAACTTCACTTTATAAAATTACAGTGTACAACTGAGTAGTTAGCAGGTATACGCTGCATTCTGTTTTCAAGTACTCTTTTACAGACATAACAAAACTTTTTGAGGTAGGGGACACGAGTAGAGCTAAAGAGCTTTGTTTTTAGAAATAAGCAATAACATAAGCTACATATGGCATATTAAGGACAAATGAATGGCCAGTTCACTTTGCAGCTTAGCACACTGTGCGTCTCGGAGGTCCCCGTATAATTTTGCGTATTTTGCCCTGTGGGTGGAGCCTGGATCTTTTCACACTTTTCCAGTACATGATGGTGGAGATCACCATTGTTACAGAAATGGTGGAAAGGACGCCACTCATGCAAATTCCAAATATTGTCCATGGCCGCTTCTTGAGACCTAAAATATAGGATTTTACCCTGGACTTGATCTGGAAATATCAAAAATAAGAGAAATGGTCAACCCTCACATAGTTATATTTGAAAGAGGCCAGTATCTACTATAAATACAACCAGGAACTAGGCTAAAATGTGTACAGGATAGAGAGCATGTAAAATAAAGGGAGCGAAGTGCCGAACTAGGCACAGGAGAGAAGACAGTTGCAATGACATTGAACTAAACCCAGAAACACTAAAATAAGTTAGGGAGCATGTATAAACACCTGGTTGACCAGGGAATAAAGGGCAGCAGCACAGCACATAGATGACCCTTATTCATCGCGTGGTAGTCGACCCTTGGACGACATTTCCAAGAGAAGTTCATAATGAATACAAGCTCTTGCAAGGGTATCTGGACAGACAGTAGTGTTGTGCAAGGCCAGGAGATCCTTCAGAAATGGCACATTCACGAGCAGGTTTGTCTACCGAGGACTGGTCATAAAGCTACGCGCGGCTGTGGAGAGACAGGGCTCCCCACCGTGCCCCACTCCTCGGGTCTTGACTCCAGGAGGGAATCATCACCCAAACCTTGCATGTCCAGTAACAGGTTATCTGCATTTTAGTCAGGAGTCTAAGCTCCCAGCTTTTAGTCAATGGGGAGAAAAGGACACCTCCAGAGTAGCAGTCACCACATGCTAAAATAGGTATCAAAGACAGTGAGTATAAGGAGAGCCTTGTGACTAGCTTGGACTTGAACCTCTGACTTTCAGACATTTAAAGTGAGATCAGATGGATTTCCCTGCATGACTCTAAACTAGGACGCTCATCTCTTTACCCCCCCCCATTCTGTGGAGGGAGATGACTAGAGTATCCCCGAAGGATGCCTCAGAGTACCTCTTGTCCTGTATTACACAGGAACACTATTTTTCAATCACATCCCTAAACTTAGGGAATATAAATTCGTTAATACACACTCCACTGTCTTCACTTCAATTCTGTATTTTTACAACCTACCTCAAACACATTATTCCAAGACCAGGTAGACTTCCCCTACCCTGACTGTTGCCTATTGCCAAGGAGAAATGGGCAAAGAAATGCTATTGAAACTCACGGACCACATTACCTTACAAGTAGCAACCAATTTTCATCATCTTGCTGTGCAAAGAGTTTTTCCATTATTTAAGTAGGAATGGACCTAAGCTAGAAACCAAAAGCAGAGCAGCCCATGACTTTGGTGGCGCTTGGATTCACACCAGCTTTGCTGTTCTGCGTTACGTGGATTTTGTATACTTAAATCCCATCAGATGACAGAAATTCCACCCTGGCTTACTTAACTTCATGTGAAAGTCTGATGAATTAAGTGTGAGATAAACTCTGCTAAGTAGTACATGACCTGAAATGAGTCCACTTATTATGAGTGTTGTCAAGACCTATTTTGTAGCGAGGCACTGATGGCTAAATAGTATAGGACCGACACAAGGAGAAAGATGACATATACTTAAGACGACCCTAGAGCTCAGTAATAATTATTTGAGTAGCTATTTGAAAACCTTGAATAAATGGGATTAGACAGAAGTACGTGTCTATGTTGCCAGTGTACAACAGTTGCGGGGGTAAGAACTGATGGAAATCGTATGGGGAGTTTCAGAACTCAGCTTCATTCATCTCCCCCTTGTCTCACCAAGTCTGGCAGCTGTTCAGAGCTTCCAGTTACGAAGAGGTGATTAATACCAAAACTAAAACCATTAGCTGGTTAGCTGGTTCAGCCTCTATTCTAGTTACTGGGCCTGTACTATACAAAGCTTTACCTAGAATCAGCCTTGGATAACAGCTCTTCTGTAATGTCTGCATAAAAACATAAAGCATTTTGTAAGCATACAGTGGGAGAATTTCTCTTTGTCATGGCCATGACACTCACAGGATAAATAGAAGGAATAACTTGCAAAACAAGCCTGGAACAGCATCATCTTAGCCAGCCTGCAGAGAGGCTTATGTAAGTGCATTCGTCACCAAAAAGCTTTGCAATCTTGTCTGTGTCACCACGGTGGCCCAGCAAGTTAACACACAGACCAGGTCCGAGAGAGGTCTGAGCACCCGCTGACACTGAAAGTCTGGGAGCATTTGGACACCTAAGTTTAAGAGCTTTGGCTCTGAGCGCTACCCTGCACATTCAAAACACCTTCAAGTCATTGCATGGATTACCAACAGTGCCTCAGAACCGGGTCAACAAATAGTGCAACTCTGTAATTTATTTAGCTCTTGTTTTTTCCTAAGAAGCATGCTGCATTTTGAAGAGTACTGATTTTTCTTGTACGCATAAAAAATAAAAGCAGATACACAATGAAACGAAAGCTGGTATGGGAAGCACTGTCATATCTCTGTGGGCAAAAACCTGGAGGAAACACTGTCTTTCTTAATAGCCATCAAAGGAGTTAAAATACCACTGCTCACAAAAGATAATGCTCTGCTGTTTTTTTGCTTTGACTTCACAGTTATAATGAGCCCAGAGAAGGATTGAGGACAATTAGAGGGTTACAGAACCGTGGCAGAAGTTTGGAAGTAGCTAAGCTGTTCATATCAGCTTCAAAAAAAGGAGAAGTCCAATCCTGGGACAAGAATACAATTAAAAAGATTAAAGCAACTGTTTGGATTAAAGGATGTCATCACCTATTTTTTTTATTTAATGGGCACGTATGGTCCCTTGCAGAACCCTTGTGACTGTCTGTCCCCTGCAGAGAAGCTCCTCAGCCCAAGTCCCGCAAGGTGATGAAATGTCCAGCAGTCACTGGGACTCGCCAGCTTTTGAGAGGCTCTAACATTGACACGTGCCTTCAAAGCCAGTTTCGTAAGACCCCGCGCTGTGCAGTTCCAGTGTAGAGAGATGCTTTCAGGCTGCGTACCTGAAGGGCAGGCTGCGGAAAACACCCCTCTGCAGCATGTGGGGCTTATTCTTGCCATCTTTCCTCCACAGTGGCTTCCTCCTCAAAAACTTGAGTATTCCAAAGAGGATGCCCATGTCTCTCTTTGCTACTGAAATGGTGACTTATTTCCTTTGTTTTTCTCTCTCCTGTCACAACAGTTTGCAGTGTGCAGACATACACACCTTCTGGCAGCTTCTCAAGAGCCTTTCATAGCGCATGGCTTAGAGTGTGCAGAGCAAGTGGGTGGCGTATCCAGAAGTTGGACCCAACGGGAGTGTGTGGTTGAGCTGTTCAACCACGAGACCAGCTAAGGCTCACTAGCTATATTTAGAAGTCTAAACAAGCAGCTGAAGCTGTTAAGAACCCAAGCTATAGCAGATTATAGACAACTCAGGCTGTGTCGACTTGAGCAAGTGGATCTGTACAACGAACCAGCTGGTTCTGAGGAGCCCACTTCCACGTAGTCAGCATTTCTGGGGTTTTGCTTCAGGTTGCTCTAGCCTGGTTTCAGGGTCGGACTGCCTGCTAGTGCCAAAGCACACTACCTATGCTCTCCTAACACATTTTCATCTGAAAGAAGCCCACTTTGTGTACTTGGGGCTGAGACATGAGCCATCCCGCAGTATGTGGGGATGATCGGGAGATTTGCTTCAGAAGTAACTCCTGATCCAAGGCAGAACACAAGCTGCCCCCCTCCAGTGCTTATCGCAAAGAGCAGTGCTATGACCATATACAAAGGCTGCATTTACATCACTTTGCAATACAAACATGGGCATGGGGCAAGACTTCTCAAATCAAACCAACTTTCTCTGAACAATTTTTTTCAAGGTCTATGTAACAGTGGAAAGAAGAGGCTAACTGCTCTGCAAATGCGGCAAAGGATGTTTAGTGCCATCAACAACCACAGTTCCCATGGTTGCAGAGTTAGTATGAGAGGAGGAGATATCCACATTAATTCACAGAAGGTATTTGTTGAACCTTTCAATTAGGGGAATCTAAAACTGAGACTCACCAGCTATATTTAGAAGTCTAAATGAGTGGCCAAAGCTATTAAGAACCACAGATTATGCTGTCTAAATGTGGACTTAAGCCTCAGTCCATAAAGAGGTGTCAATAAACGCCCCCATATACTTGCAGAACCTCAGTGGAGTCACGAAGAGGCAGAGGGATCCCCCTATCAGGCCAGCCTTCAGGATCAGGAACACAAATCAGCTTTCCGTGAAAATCTCGGGTAGCAGGAATAGATTTTGAGTGAGATGTAAGGGTGAAAAAAAGAGTGGCTTTTTCAGTGTATGTTTCTTATTCTGCTGAGAAAGGACAGGAGATTAACAGACACCACTCAATACCAATTTCCATAAACCCAGACTCAGTTAAATTAAAAGGCCTCTGGAATTTTTTATCACTGTATTATTCCAAGAGCTAAAGGTCCTTTTGATGTGCAACACTGCTGAACTTAGCCACAAGGCATCTATCTCGAAGGGCACAGCCTTGTGCTAATTGCAATGGTAAATGTTAATCAGAAAATATGCCTGTTTAATTACTTGGTGTGATTAACACTGCAGGAAACCTATAGAGGATGCATTCAAAAATATCCTCCTTATCCAAAATCAGTAATACATAAATGCCCACCAAACAGCTAACTAAAAGAGACTTTGTACAGCTGGAGCAGAGAGGGATGAAACGTACATTTGTAACAGCCTCTGAGAGCGTGTGCATGTGTGCGAGTGTGTGTGTACGCAATGTCCAAGAGACCGTTTTCTTCGCAAAGTGTTAGCAGTGACTGTGCTGTCTGTGGGACACAGGGAGTGACCAAGGGTTTTGTACACTGGCACTGCATCTCACTCATATGCAAGCTGAAATTTGAGAGTCATTTTTGCAAGGAGATGTGATGCTCTTGGTTAAAAAAAAAAACAATAACCCAAATCATTGCAAGCAATGGAAGAAGTAATGGAGAAATGTAAAAAAGCTCATGGAGGACGCAACATCAGATGAGTAGTGCAGATCC